TTCGAATCGGCTTTTGCCACGCTTTTAATAATTTAAGCAGTGTCCATACCCAAGGAAAAACCTGTGAAAATGACATTTGCTTTTTTTCAAAATGCTAATGCCACATCAATCAGCATTAATCTAGACAATATATTAGACATTCATTTAGAAAGTGTAGAGATAAAAATGACCCTAGAGTATTTGCACCTCTACAATATGTTAGTGGTTATTTTTTGAAAAAAGCAAAAACAAAAATTTTTAAAAATTGCTCCATATGTAATAATGTTTTTTCTAGTGATGATCAAATAAAATACATAAAATATAGATAGTATGCAGGTCGACGATGGCTTTGTTCTCCCAGTAATAAGTTAATAGAGCTGATTTCACACTTACAGGACATTATAAATCATATTGTTAAAGAAAACTTAGAAGCTCTCTACTTAAAAGAAATATTAAAGACTTCTATTGTGTCACTAATAGATTTTGAATTTATACAATGTGTAAAATACAATGTATTAATATACAATGTATTATATAACATTTTATACATTGTATATATGTGTCATGTATACAATGTATAAAATGTTATATAAAAATAAAACAGTTGAATATTTAATCAATACTGTCATTCGTTTCATGAGCTATAACTATTGTAAAGTCGTCATCATCATCATTACAGCCCTTCACAAGTCCACTGCTGAACATAGGCCTCCCCCAAGTAATGCCACAAAGCACGGCCTGAGACACCTGCATCCATCGACTTCCTGCATGTCTTACCAGTTCGTCACTCCATCTAGTGGGTGGTCGCCCTACACTACGCCTACCGGTACGAGGCTGCCACTCGAGAACCTTTTTTCCCCATCGGTTATCGGTTCTTCGAGCTATATGGCCGGCCCATTGCCACTTCAGCTTACTAATCCGTTGGGCTATGTCGGTCACTCTGGTTCTACTGCGGATATCCTCATTTCTGAGTCTATCACGTAGAGAAACTCCGAGCATAGCTCGCTGAGCGACCTTGAGCGTTCTTATACGGCCAGCAGCGAAGTAAAGATCTGGCAGTAAAGCTTTTTGGTCTCTCGCCAAAGTCGAGACAGTCGGTCTACATTGCCTCCGCTAGTAAAACCAGATGGCTCACTGGTGCTTAAGGACAAAGCATATTTATTTGCTTCTCTTTTTGTTTGCCATTCGCGTCTGGACCTCTGGAGATCTGTATCGCCCAAAATGAGGTTCTTAAAACCTTGCGAAGTTTAGACGTGAACAAAACAAGTGGACCTAATTGTATACATAGGCTGCACTAAAAGTATCGGGAATGGAATATTTCCACTGTTCCTGTCATATTAAAATCATTAATTGAAAACTCCTTGGTTTTAAAAATCGAATACCATTTATTTATTTAAAAAAAGATTCTCGGTCTTGTCACAAGGTTTTGTCAAACTTGTTTAGTAGTTGAGAAAATGGAATTGACTCGAGAAAATTCAAGAGCGATGATTTATTATGACTTTCGAAGTGGTTTAACCAAAGAGATTGAAATATATATTATACACTATAAAGCGGACATTGGGAATATTTTCATACAAAAGCTGTGACCACACGCATGTGTTACACCCTCTAGCGAAATATAGCAATACTACACTAAATATTTATTTAGAAAACATTTTAGATATTTCCCAGTAGGTGACACTACTAAACATAACCAAAGAGATTGAAATATATATTATACACTATAGAGCGGACATTGGGAATATTTCATTTCCGTATGTATTAGACTACTCTATGGAATATTTTCATACAAAAGCTGTGACCACGCGCATGTGTTACCCCCTCTAGCGAAATATAGCAATACTACACTAAATATTTATTTAGAAAACATTTTAGATATTTCCCAGTAGGTGACACTACTAAACATGCCACCATGGAGGACGGAATTGAAGAGCTTCTGAAGGACTTCAAGTACCGGTGTTCCACCCGCTTTCAGAAGCTCCGCTGTAATTCCATCCTCTCCTGGGGCCCTGCCGTTTTTAAGGTGCTGGAGAGCCATTCTAATCTCGCTTTGACGTCCGGGATATCATCGGAATAGTGTAAAGTAAAGTAAGTACTATTGTAAAGTAATAAATAGAATATTATCTGGGAGACATGATGTTGAGGACGAAGAAGATAAAATGCAAATAAAAGCTAAAAAAATATCAAAAAAAATATTTTATTTTAAACACTGACATCGAGGAGTGAGGTAGAGCCACACCACATCTATATTATGGCATTGTAACATGAATGGGTCAGCTCAATCGGGGGAGGACCATTCTTTCACAGAATAGCAGCGTAAATTAGGAGCTCAAAGCTGCTATGCTTATTGTGGCGAGTGTAGAGAACCGAAGACCCTTTTTACTGGAAATGAGGCATTACAGCTTAGTCTTCAGGGATTACAACGCATCTGCATTTTAGTGACTGGTCGAGGATGGATGTGTATGTTTATATATTTATCACACTTATGCTATAAAGATTGGCAATTGCATTTGTAATGTAGCATCAAACATACTTTTTAATGTATGTCTCTGTCTATATTTGGCCTGCTTAGATCAGTTGCTAAAGGTATTTATTTAAGATGTATTTAAAGTATCCACGGCGGAAATAGTAAATGTAAATATTACCCAAATTTACAATATATTTACTTATATTTTCATGATTTTTTAAATAGATGTTGAGATTACAATAAGTAAAGAATCTAAATCAACAAAGTATAGCAGTTGACCATGATCATGTCCTCTAAGAAAATCAGTGTACAGCAGGATTGCCAGATGTAGTTGAAATTGTTATTAACCAATGGATGTTTTCTAATCGAAAATCAATTTTAACAATCTTTGTAGTTTTGTACTTGTAGTTATACTTGGTCTGCTTAGGTCAGTTGCTAAAGGTATTTATTTAAGATGTATTTAAAATATCCTCGGCGGAAATAGTAAATGTAAATATTACTCATATTTACAAAACATTTACTTATAATTCATTTAAAATATCCACGGCGGAAATAATAAATGTAAATGTTACTCAAATTTACAAAATATTTACTTATAATTTTCATGATTTTTAAATGGATGTTGAGATAACAATAAGTAAAGAATCTAAATCAACAAAGTATAGCAGTTTCCATGATCACGTCCTCTAAGAAAATCGGTGTACTGCAGGATTGCCAGATATAGTTTTGTACTTGTAGTTATTACCACAGAAAGTAGCAAAAATTGTTCCCATATTAAACTAAACTGCTTCAATAAATAAAATAAACAAGCCTCAAGTGCCGCAATTCCAAACGTACTTAATTTTGTTATTGTATCATTCAAGAAATGATTGACGCTTAATTTTAAATAAAATGTGCAATTTTTAGCTACATAATTGAAAGAGTTAATGTTGTTTGTACCTTTGTTCCACGCTTTTTACTTTTTATGTCGGTGATTAGAATCATCATGGTGATTCATTAATTTCTATATAAATATATAGAAATTTATGTTAAATAAATGTTATATGTACGAATTTTCCTAATTGTACTGCGCGTTAAATAAATTATGTAAACGTAGTAAAGAGTTTTATGTACATAAATTATTAATATTTATCTAATCAGTGTATATATATATATATATATATATATATATATACAGAAAAAGTTGCTTACTTCTGGTAAGAGATACGTTACGTGTTACCATTTTAAAGGTCGAAGATAGGTCTCTATTTCAGTATATATTAAAGGTACTCTGTGATATGCGTACTGCGCATAGATTACTGTGTGTATAGTGTATATACTAGAGGTACTGCGTTGTAAAGTGTGCATGGAACATAGATTGTTTCGTATGCACGAAATATATAATCGTGCCCTCTAGTTTGATAAAAATGAGTAGTCTACGGCTTTGTAATGTAGATGACAGTAAAACAGTAAAAAAATATCACTTTCGTAGACAGAGAATGCTATTTGTTCTCAAAATAATGTTCTAAGTTGCATGCCTATGTAGATGTGCGACTCAAATTTAATTTTCGTTAAAGCTCGGGCTTTGCCTAATAGATGGCGTTAAATTAATGGTGCTTTGGGCTCGCCCTTTATTTGCACTTTACTATTTTTATTTTATATACAACCACTTATTACTTTGCGCAAGTGCTGCAAAGCCCGAACTTTAACCAAAATTAAATTTGAGTCGACATCTATCTCTAGTACATATACAGTACCATGTAGGTAATCTATGGATGTTAGACTGTGTTGCCATTTCTGAAAAGGCTGTTTTAAAGCGTGTGTCTTCAAATTTTTTTTTGTTTTAAGCGTGCAGATTTCTCTCCGATGTTTTTCTTCACTGTCAAATATGTGGTAAATGAGCATTGAAATTTGCAAGTAAATTTTCAATGCGGTAGAGCCACGTTTACTATTGGAAACGAAGCATTTCATCTAGGTCCTCAGGTGTGGTAACACTTCTACATTTTAATTCTTAATCGAAAATAGATGCTGATGTCTATGGGTCGCAACATCAGCTTACCACGAGGTGGGCTGTGTGCTCGTTTGTAACCCTTATTCTAGAGTGAAATAGCAGCTTTTTGCTGGAAACGAGCCACTTCATCTTAGTCCTCAGAGGTGACAACGCATCTGCATTTTGATTCCTAATTGAGGATAAATGTAATGTCTATGGGCCAGAGTCAAGTTGACTGTGTGCTCGTTTGTCACCCTTATACTATTAAAAAACAACGAGTTGATATCCATAGATGCTACAACTACACAGTAAATATGTATATCAAAGTTAATATTGACTAATTATATTGCTCACAGGTCAACACTTGGGATCAAAAGAAAAAATATTGTTCCATACTGTTTGATGAAGTGGCCTTAGAAGTTGGAGAGTCTTGGATTTGTCTTTGAGTGTTGGATTTGTTGAACTTAACAAAAAAAAAACAGATGATTTTGGTGACCATTACCATTGTTTTTATGTTGCGGGGAGTTGTTCATAAGTGGCAACAACCCAACTTCAGGAGTTGAATTAAAAATAATTATCAAGAACATGGTAATAGCTGTAGGTAAAACAGGAGTTAGACCAGTGGCTCTAGTCTGTGATCAGGGTACAGCATTTCAACATGCCCTAAAGAGTCTTCAAGAGGATACAAGGCGAGAGCAAAAAATTTTAGATGGAAGGATTGGTGAGTAGGCTTTGCCATCTTTATATGCAATCTCTTATCAAGAATAAAATTGTGGGGTGGTGTTTGTATCTAAATTGTAATTATTTTTCAGATGATATGATTGTAATTAATGGCCATACACTTAGTGTAATTCACGATTTACGTCATCTAATAAAAGGATTTTAAGAAATAATTTCCTAAAGACATAAAATATAACGAAAAGATTTCAAAGTGGAACGACATTGTTGAAGTATATAAAACAGATTGCAATCTTGAACAGATGAGGCTTTTACATAAATTAAATGATGAACATGTGATTGCGGAGAAAATTAAAAAGATGAAGGTAATTATTATTTTATTAAATATCTATGTTTTTTTTTTCTATTTTATTGACATTGTGAAATAGTAAAAAAATGTACTATTTTTCTGTTACTAGTTTCTAATTTCTGTTATTTATATTTCAGGTAAAAATTTGCACTAGTGTTTAGCAAAACAGTAGCTGCTACATTATCGTACACTGCTCAGTTTTGTAAGTTCCTAAGCTAACTTTTTTTGCAATAAATTAATATTCAATTGAGTTTAAACAAACCCTTTATGTGGCCAATTTTTTTTCAAAGGAAAAGCTTTAAGACAAGCAGTAACAGAAAAATCCTTACATCACGAATTTTGGAGGGAAGCCATCCTAAAACTGCAGAGCATAAAATTTATATATAATCAAGGTAAAGAAACATCTGTGCCTTCATTAAAAAAAACTGGATAACAACTCTTAAAAGTTATCAAAGATTATGGCAATATCTAAGTGCAAAAAATAATAAAGTTTTGCGCCCGCGGTATTGAAATTCTGATCCTATAGAAAACTTTTTTGGACAAATGCAGACGTACAATTTTAGAAATACGAATCTGGATTGCAAAACATTTAAAAGTACCTTTATATCACTGTTAATCACAAGGTTTATTTCCACTCAGATTGTTATAATGGAGAAGATAACAAGGTTACAATATTTAAACTTTTAAGTACGTAGGTAAAATGTCTAGACCAAACACATAATTCTAGTTTTTATTTCACATCGATCGGTGCACTATTACCGAAGTTATAAGCGTGGAAAGTTTACGTACATTTTTAAAATCTCGCCCGTGCCCGCGAGTAGCGCGTGACGTCATCGATTCCATGCGGCCGCGCCGCCATATCGTTCCAGCGCGCCGATCATACGTTTGTAGTCATTGAGTTTAATATATAAATCAATGTTTGTAGTAATTTTTCGCGGGTGAGTTGTTAGCCCTCGTGCGCTCTGGTGTTTTGTATTTAATGATGGAAGAATGGTTTCAAAAGGTCAATCTGACAACCTTCCAATAATCCGTGACATGATGGTGGCGGAATATTTTCTAAGAAACATATATTTTGTCTCGGCTGAAATACGCGTAAGAATAAGATAATATTTTATAACCTAGGTACCCATTATTACATTAATACTTCTGAGTTTCATTTGCTAATGATAAGAATAGGTATAACAAAAATACGTAAACATTCCTTACCTACCTACATACTATCTGGCTCTAACTAGTTTTGTTTTCTTATTCTTCATAAGTGTACCCTGACCTTTTTGTGGTTTTTATAGTTAAAAGAAAATTCCTGTTGTATATAAAGAAATTTACTACAAATATACCTTCGGTGTATAAAAATATGATTTTATCTAAAAATCAGATGTTTTCAATATTAATAGAAAAAGGGTCGCATTATTATTATGATTAAAGGCGTAGTTATATATTCTTCAGGCAAGGGATCAATGTCAATATTATGATCTAGAGTAGTAACAGGATCGACAACATATCTGTGCTCAATTTCTTGTGAAGTAGTGGCAATCGCATGTGCAACTGTTTCTGATCTAAAGGGGGATGCCCACTGTTCATAGACACTTCGGCCATGGGTGCCCACATATAAAAGCATATGGAAATGATAATATGCAATTAAAATAATGAAATGGTTAAGGAATTAGTTTAAAAAAAAGTCGGGATTTTTATGATATAAAGCTTTTTATTTTCACAAATACAGCTTTTTAACGACTACTTTTACCAATTTTATTGCTTTTAATTTCTTTAACTTTTAATTCCCGACGCGTGATTTTTTCTTTTGGAGGCCTATGCCAAAAGGCACACCGAACAGAGGGACTTACTTTAACTAGTATTACAATAGGAACTCAAACACAAATATTATGTAACCTTAAAGTTCGGAAATAAATGGCTATATTATTATTATACTATTATTATTAATTCCTGATGTTTCAGGTGCTTTATAGCACCCATGGTCACGGGGTACTGAGGTGACTGCCATCCCAATGTCAGTATTGGGACATGGAGTACCTTCAGCTTTTTATTATTATTTTTATAGTCCAATCTACGCAGATTGAACTTACTCTATCTTTAAGTCTTGCAGTGGTATGCTTGGGGTTTGTTTTAATTTTATTAATTATAGTGTCCCAAGCAGGTGGCAGTACCCAACCGCCTTCTCTACTGAAATTAGGATGTTTTTTAATTTCAGTAGCCTCACATATCATCCTTGGTAGGAATTAATGTTCTTTAACGAGGATTTGTGGTCTATGAAATCTGATGTATGTCTATCTGGTTGGGGTGACACCCTTGACATACGGTAGTACAGCAGGCACACGCTCAACTGCGGTCGGCTTCACTCGGTCACTGTGACGAAGACGTGGGACCCGAAGCTTGATTTTGTGCAGAACCTGCTTGACGTGCTGAAGCTCCGCGGCCAGGTGCTTGTTCTCACAGATCCCATATGCTCTCTGTAACAAAGATTTGCTCATGGTAACTAACTGTGAAGGATTATGGTGAGATTCACCGCTTAAATATCAGTTTGTATGGGTCTTTTTTCTATACACAGTGTTACCTATGATGTTGTTAGGATTTTGGATAACAAAAACATCTAGGAAAGCTAAGAAATTATTTGCCTCAGATATAATATCATAATTACTGAATAGAATTTGGCACAGAGAGTGGTAACGATGGATAAAATTCATAGGAACAACATCTTGATTTAATATTTCTTGGGCCATATTCATGAGCCGCTCTAATTTGTTTCTTGGTACTTGCAATAATGCCTATATGCATTCATCACTATCTCCTGTTCTTACTTTTATCAAATATACAGCAAGTGCAAAGCATCCACTATGTTTACTTGACATTTTGGGCACTTCAGACAGAATTTATTGGCATTGTGCCTTTGATAAGCGTAGATAATAATGTACAGTATATTCGGGCATATTGTAAATATTTTGAAAGTCTATATGATGGTAAATATTATCTTACAATAATGTAGAAAAATCTATAATTTGTGCTACACTAAATGTTTTAATATGGTTATATATTAATTCTAAAAGTAAATACCAAGAGTTACTATTTAAATGGTAGTTACTGATTCTACATTCCGGAGGTACATAGTAATTGTATTCACAAAAATACATACCCGCAATGCTGATGGAATAGTGAGTTGATTGGAATTGTTACAACCAGGAAAAAACATTGATTTTGTGTGAGTGGTGCTCTTACAAAATTAGGCAGCAGTATATTGTATGATGTATGATCTAAGCTTTGTTGTTCTAGGTTCAATACATTACTCACTTTAGATTGCTACAAGGATGGACTAGATGATTCAGATGGTTCCCGTTCTAAAGTTTAACGTGTTGCTGCTTTATCAATCCTTCGCAATCATGACACTCACGCGATGACGATGGCAACTGAAATAATATTAAATAAAAAAATAAGACAAAGTGAACAAAATAAAATAGATTTGTTTACTTTAAACTCAAATATAGGTAAATGTTACTTAAAACTTAATGCCCTATATTATTTAATAATTAAGGACTGACTGCCTACCAGTAGTCCAAAAACAATTAAAAATCGACTGTCTTATTTCTTGGTATTTGATAAAAATTGTCCATTTCGTAACTATCTGGTGTTAGCTAGCTAATCTTATCGCCGTGTTACAAATAAGCTATTTTGTTTGTCAGGTATAGCTTGTGCATATGTTAAAAAATAAAACAACTTCATCATTTCATACATTCATCACTATCAAATATCAGCACTAGAATTAATAAATTAAAAACTGTTGAACACTTACTTTTAACTGTTGTCACACTATAATGTGATCGACAATCTCACTCCATATGAGTTCTTGAGAATTTATTTGAAAAATAACAAATAAAATAACACAATGGCAACTATTTAGTTGTGAATTCACTAGTACCTTTTTACTTGTTGAATTGTGATTTCATTTCGCATGACATATTTCCTATAGCTGTCAGATTTGATGTTGCCACATAACTAACATAAATACAACGAAACGATATCGATTTGTATTCGATTAGTAATTTAATGAAAAAAATAATAATATTTGAGTTTCGCTTTCAGTTCTACACGCTTTTTAAAATATATTTTCTTTTATTTTTTAAATTATGTTTTAAACGTATTTTTAAGAACAGTTAAAATGTGGAGTAGCGTATTGTTATGCTCTAAACAGTTCATGGTAAATCAGCTAAAAATTCACTTGTTTAATTATCATAACATGATTCCATTTTAAATGTATTGTTAAAACAGATAACAATAACAGTTAAATTGTGCAGTAGCATTTTATTGTATTCTAAAGAATTCATAGTAAATCAGCTAGTAATTCGCTTGTTTAATTATCATAACATCATAATATCCATAGCGATTCGATTATTATTCGATTAATAATTTCATAAAAAGAGAATAATCTTGGAGGTGTTTTAACTTCTGCTCGCTTTTTAAAATGTATCTTCCTTTTTTATTTAAATTCTATTTTAAGTGTATTTTTAAGAACAGTTAATTGTGCAGTAGTGTTTTATGAAGCTCTAAAAAATTCATGGTATATCAGCTAGAAATTCACTTGTTTAATTATCGTAACATGATTTCATTTTAAATGTATTGTTAAGAAAAGATAAGAATAACAGTTATATTGTGCAGTAGCGTTATGTTATACTGCATAGAATTCATTGTAAATCAGCTATTAAATCGCTTATTTAATTATCATAACTACAGATGTGAAGGCGGTTGTTAACGTTTTCAACCAAGCCGATAACAACGGTTGTTTTTGTCTTGAAATTGATAAAAATTGTGCAGTTGCGTTTTGTTAAGCTTTAACCTTTTGAGCGCCACGC